GCACATGGACCGAGACATATGTCTTCCAATTATTTGACCTTGAGCCTGATTTAATAAGATCCCGAATAGCGTGGGGGAAATTGCATGTTTACTCTTGCAGGTTTTGTCGATGTCCGTGTTGCATACGCATGATCTACTGAGATTGTTTTCTTTTGCTAAAATCTCAAACAGCAGAATCTGAATTGCATCTTCACTCACTCTAATAGAATGTGTGCTATAGGCATCAACTATGAAAGTGATGGAGACTGCTGTAAGAGTGTTTTGCGCTTTTTCAGCTCTGATGGGTTTTACCATGGACCAATTGGGAGAGCACCATAAGAGCAAAATGAAGTTTGAAGGGATGAAATTGGAAGTGTTAGTGGAAGAGGCAAAATATCTCTGAGTTAAATAAAAGAGATGGATTGCTCCAGTAATTTTGGGGAAACCAACACAAAACCTGTGTCTTATTTCATTTTAACTCATCCCAAACGTGTAGCAATTGGATGTCCATTCTGTGTTTAAACATGCAAAATCAGCCTTTTAAAAAAATATTTGGTTTCCAGTTTGATAAATTATATTGTATGTGCTAAATTAATCTATTTTTATGCACTCCTCCCAGAATGCAAGAAAAAAAAAGAACTGCAAACGGAATCCTGGGTGCACCCACTTAATAGATTAACTTCCCCATCTATTGCGTGAGAAATCAAGCTTACACATGTGTTTGCACACTCTAAACTGAGATAAATCAATCAGGTGCTGCCTTTTCACTATATTCCCAAGTCCCTGGAATCATTGAGACTTTTGCTGTCAGTCAGTGTTCAGATTTGTCATTTCTCACTCTTTCTGCAATTCATCTGTCTCTCCGATTTCTAATTTGTAGCATTCACACTCTGGCCTGATGAATTGTTCGTGCATTGTCATTTTTTTTTTTTGGTTGTTTGTTTTGTTTTGACTGTGAATGCAACACAGCTGGAAATAAGGAAACAGTTGGCCTTCAATGAAAACAATGTTGAACACTCTTGTTTTTTGCAGATTTAACACAATCTGATGAAAAGTACAAAAGTAAAGTAAATCTTTGATGAGAATACTACCTTTGCTTGAAACATTATCTCACTATTAAACCGTTCCTGATTTTTCAGTCTTGCTTGATGTCAAGTTTTCTTCATAGGACAAATAATGCACAATTTAACTGACTACTTGTGCTCTCTTTATTGATGTCTCAATGAAAGACCTAACAGTGACACTTCCGGAATGTTTTGATTTTGTGTCACAAGTGTTGCAATCTGTATTCAGACAGGGAGATTTTTGTGCCACTATTTGGAAATTGTTGTTCATCCCGAGTTCTATCCCCTTCCACTTGTCACACTCTGAGGAAAGTCAGGCATCAGTTGTGCCACAGGGACGGAGACAGAACTCGGGATGAACAACAGAGTGTGACAAGTGGAACCGTGCGATTAATTTGAACCGGCCGCTTTAATATGTTCAGGGACGTGCAACGCTTATTGTCTTCTCGATACACATCTATCAGAATCTGGCAGAGAAAATGTCCAGGAGAATCAAGACATTCAGCCCTGCCTCTTACCATTCCATTTTCTCCTGCACTCATTTTGGAGATGAGATACCAAGTCACCATCAGGGCCTGCCTTGTTCAAGGCATGATTCTAGCCAACGTCACTGGTTTAATCAACCGCCCATCTGTGATCTATTGAAAGAACGAGGAAGCATGAGACATCCACTGAATCTGCTCCCATTAAATACAGGATGTACAGTGTCTCTCGCTGTCTAGAGAGAGAGAGAGAGAGCGAGAGAGAGAGAGAGAGAGAGAGAGAGAGAGAGAGAGATGGATAGATATCCATTTTTTGATTGGCTTATCCTTACAAGGGTCGCCGGGCGTTCTGGAGCCTATCCCAGCTGTCTTCAGGCAGTCGGCGGGGTGCACCCTGAACGGGTTGCCAGCCAATTGCAGGTCACACATAGATGACCTGCAATGTGTTCCCCTACTTCAATAATGATGAATGTGGCACTGCCTCTTTTAAATTGTGCTCACGCCTTTGGCCCCCCACTTGGATGCCCATGGGGAGGTCAGCACCTTCAGAGCTGGAGAAACTTTTGATTTCATTTACAAGTTGAAGTCTTTTAATACATTGCTGTGCTATATAATTGGTGTAGGGGCACACTGTACCACCGTAATTGACGGGTTTTTGCTGTTGTTGTCGGGTTTTGTGATTGGGGCGATTAAATGCAACCCAAGTGCAACACAAGCAACCCTGCTTCGCGTCATCACTACTCCTGAACCCCACCGGTTATATATGCTAGAATGTGCACAATGATGCCCTTCCTTCCTATCTATCATTCTAGCAGGGGCCAATCGAATGTGTTTGGAACTTATTCGATTGCTCTCCACCATAGCAAGTAGCTCAACAAGGCAATTGCACAAAGCGACGAGTAAACAACTCAAACACCACTTCCACCCAATCATCAATTCATCTCTACTGAACCCTTCTTGCCTGTTCTTATCATTGTTGCGTTTCCCCTCTACATGTCTTCTCCAACCCCTGTTGGGATCAGTCATTTAGCTGAAGCAAGTTTTTTTTTTTTTCTCTCTCTCTCTTTTGGCTCTGCTGAGGAGTCCAGGGACATGCTTTCACCTACTGAATAGAGTAAGGAAGTTATTCCATCCATCACTGGGGGTTCAACTTGTCTCTAGTGGTGGAGTTTATCTTAGACATAAGGAGCAATGGAAGATGCATCATCTCATTTAGATTGTATTCTTGGGGCTCAGTCGGAAATTTGATCAGGAACATTTTTTTAATGTGGTGCTTACGAGACTTAAGCCAGGGGACAAATGGATGGGGATTTAAAATGGTGATTCGCTTTTAAAAAGTTGTGTCGTTGTCTGGCAACGAATTTGCCCACAATCTGTTGTTTGACTGGGGAATCGATTGAGAAGAGGCTTGAGGATTTATCTCTCGTTGATGCGCGATTCTCTTTGTTTCAAGGTCTTTTGATCAATGACAAAGTACCTGTATAAGGATTTGAAATCATTTTTTAAGTTGTGTTTTTGATTGCAAAGACACATCTGCTATGAAGGTACAAAAGTAAAGTCAGATCATTTTCACCAAATTAAGAACAGAGTAACAGTCCCTCTGATGTTCTTGGTGTACTAAAAAGAAATGCACTCACCACAGCAGGTCTCTCAGTCTCTAATTCAATCTTATCCCATGTTTAAATGACTTGCCTGCGCAGATGATCTTACATTATGAGGTCACAACTTTATGGGAGGGGGGGGGTTGTTTGTTTTTGTTATTTTGCTATAGACTCTTATGTGTTTGATCTGCACGTTTGTATTCTGGTTTTGTTTTTATGTTTTGGGATATTTTTGGGATGTTATGGGATTCTGCGCCCCTTATTAGTTCCACAAGACTTTCTCAGTTCTTGTCATTTCTCTTCATATTTCCATAAAAGTAATGTTTTCTTTCATTTTCACTCGTGCCAAATGAAAAACTGTCATTAAGCACTAATAATTTTATGTTTCTAAAAATATGTTGGTGCAAAATCACCCAATTACTCGATTATGTGATGGAACAATTAATGACGGCCCGAATCTCAGATTTTGAGATTTTGTATTGTTTTGTTAAATGGCTTAGATCTGAAAAATTTTACACTAATGAAACACCAAAATGGTGGTTTTGTCCAGCATTTTTCAAATATATATTTTGCTAACTTCATTTCAGGAGGGCAAACCGTGTTCCTTCTTTCTGCAGAATTGAATGTCAAGGCATGCGGGTCCTCTGCTTCACCACCCCGCTTTTCAGGGAGCTCGGCCACTGACGACCCCTTGCACTGATTACTCTTGTTACTTAATTATACATTTGGACCCACCACACTGACAACAAATGGCCATTGTGCCTCCATTGACCCAGTTCCCTCCTCCAGATCCGCAACTCTTGAAGGGAGTGAAACAAAATAAAGAGGGTCCACTTAAATATGTTGTCAAAGGGACTTAATTAACAAATTGAAGTTGTTGTTTTTTTCCACGGGGGCACGTTCCCTCATTTCTATTCGTTCAAATTGTGCCGATTCTCCTGTAGCCTGCTGTGAAGTCCAGTGTGACAGGCCTGCAGCCCACTGCGGAAGTTTGTCGCCTACAGTTGTTTCAAAGCGTCTCACAGAGTTACCAGCAAAGATCCAGCAGTGACATATGTAAGAAATGGAAATAAAGAAATGGTTTGATTGGGTCAAACTTGACAATTTTACACTGATTCGAAATGGCAGCCTTCAATTCACTTTATACTTTTATACTTTGGTTCAGGTTCAGTCTACATTATTTTTCTTTTCTTCTGAATGTAAGAACTTTCATTACTGTAGATCAGGTTTTCTTTCTGTGAACATTTCAGTGCTGATGACCTGAGGACCTCAGTTATACCAGTCAAACTAACCCCTTTTAATTCTTGATTAAATAGACGACAATTTGTCCTTTGACCACGCCAAGGCGTATTTTTTTTAAATCAGCCTTGTTATTGAGTTCCTTTCGCATTGCCGAGATGGGAATGCAACTTAAAGACTGGTATTTGTCACAAGGTAGATTGTTAAATACCACACTTAATAGCCTCTAAGGACACAGACAGTCAAAGCCTCTGTGCCCTTGAGATACTATTGTCCAATTTAAAAGCACATTTAGAAGGCTAAATGACAAGCAGCTACAGAATGTGAAGTCATTCAACGGGCTCTTTATAAAAGAACACAGTGTGTAGGCCGATTCACTTTTGTTTCTTTTGTATGTGTACAACATTCAGTTTGTTCCAGGAACATCAAAATTGCTCTGTGCGGCTGTGTTGCTTTTGAAACTTGAAAACCTCTCAGACTGCAATGTTTCTCCGTTCATCCTGTCGTTCGTTCTGAAAGCTGTCAGTGAATGAGAGGTTGTACGCAAAAATAGCATCGGCATTGATTATGAGCTGCATGGGGAGCCTAATGAATAATTCCTTATATTTCCTGTGTCTGCTTCTTTTGTCTTATAGTGTGACAGTGAGACTGACATTGACAACAAGGTAAGGCTGCTTTCCCTGTGTTTATGCACCCGGCAGAAAGTAATTTGGAAGTGAAGAGAGAAAGGGATGAATAGTTTTGGTGAAAAAAAGGATGAGAAGGAGTAGGCATTCTGTCACTCTTCCCACTGCTGATAAATTTACAAGACTCAAGTAAGTGATGTGGAAAATGCAGGGCTGTTTTTGTGATTAGCATTTCTGCGCATAAAACAATGTGGAATGTGTTGTTTTTTTTTAGGGTCACGCATCCCTAAATAACTTGGGAAGTAAAGAATAGCTTGTCTGTCTTAACTTAGTATGTTGCCATCATTGCTATCTTGCCATCATTCCTACTTGAAATGCAGTACAGTATATGATAGTATATTATTGTACAGACTGCATTATATATACACGTGTTGAAGAGCTGGTGCCAGGTGGGCATTAGCGGGAGCACTCTCGAGTGGTTTGGATCCTATTGGGCAGACAGGACTTTTTGTGTTAGCCTTGGTTGCTCTGAGTCCCACTCTGCCCCCGCTGTTATATGGCGTTCCACTATTTTCATTCTGTTTTCTGCCTTTGGGTTCCATCTTAAGATAGCATATTTATTTTCACTGATATACAGATAACAATCAGATCTATGTCCCGCTTTCTCCTTGAGGCCACTTTGGTCCTGTCTGCAGGAAATCAAAGCCTGGATGGAACTAAACTTTTTGAACTTCAACCACAATAGAAGTTATTCAGTTTTGGTCCCTTGTACATCTCACCGTGTTGACTTGGGCCCTCTGGCATCTTATCACAATTTGGGGTTTAAAGTTGTGATGTGATTTTAAATTAGGACCGGCAAATTGCTTCTGGAGTTAATCCAGGTTTTTGTTTCAGTCCTTAGTAGAGCCTCAGAGGGAATCGAGCCTTTTCCATTGCCAGTCCCTCCCTTTGGAATGACCTCCCGTTGAACACTTGACAAACCCCTCTAAACCCATTTTCGAAAATTGTCTTAAAACACATTTTCCTTCTGGGGCTTTTGACTCAGCATGAGAGTCTGCATCTTTTTAGCTTTTTATTGTTTGTTCTTTTTTTGACTGTCTGATTTTGCAGACATTCACCAAGGCATAAACCTTTGTCACCTGTAACGTCACTGAGTAAACATATTTTGGTGTGGGTATTTTGGATCTGGATTTAACCTAATCCTAAATTTGTGCCCCATTACAAAATTCTGCATTTTATTAAATGCTTGGCGTCATCAACATTCTTATCTTCTCTTCAAATTTGTATGTAAGCTTCCTTTAAATCAGGAATATCTTTCCATTCCACAAAAAAAAAAAAAAAAATCCAAGTTGCTCTACTAAATTCTGTTGACCTTTACACACACACACACACACACACACACACACACACACACACACACACACACACACACACACACACACACGCACACACACACACACACGGTACAAACCACTGTTGATAAAATCACATCCTTCGTGGATATTACTCAAATAACGTTGCAAAAACATTTTATTGGTTCATCTGTGCAGTCATCCGTATCTTTGGGTAAATGGGGAAACGTTGGTTTAGTATCTACGTGCGTTATCCAATCAAATGTTGTCATATCATCAAGTCTTAACCATTTGACATTTGACAAATGTAGTCAGTCACACAAGCCTTGGTGTATTTGTTTAGCACACACTGGATAATGGTTGGTTGGTGGCCACCACCTGCTTACAAGATGCAGTGCCTTTAGGGAACCTCGCTACATTCTAATGCCTTTACAATTTAGCAATTACTGTCCGGTAAATGAATGAGATAGCATGCCTAATCTCCTGTAAGCTTAGCTCCCAGTTCTGTAGAACTGTCGACAGACTTCCCTATAAATAATACATTGATAGCAGGCCCAATTTACATTAAGTGCAGCCTGGCATGTCAATATTCTTTTATCTCTTTATTGAAGCAAGGAAGGAGCAAGGCCGCAAGCTAGGTGACGCAACAGAGTCGCATAACAAGCCTGTCAGTCATCATGGATGTCCCTGGCATCCCTGCAGGGGGCAAACAAGAGATGCAGCACAAGAAGGAGGCTCTGAATATTGTGTTTCGTTTTTACCCGTATAAAAGTTACACATAGCAGTATGCACCTTGTGGCATGTTTGACTAAGATTACAAATAGCGGACACTAAATTGTGTGTTCACTAGCAGTACCAAAATTAACCGATTAATCGATCATCAAATTAATTGACATATAATGTAATAATTGATGAATGGTTTGGAGCCAAGGATGCCCAAAGTACGGCTGTCATATCAGCTCCTCGCAATTTGACCCCCCCCCCCCCCCAAAAAAAAAAAAACTAAAAATGACATTCGACATGAGACGCAAAATGAGTTTAAAAAGCCAAAGGTGAGCAAAGTGAGAAGGGAGGTTGTAAAAAGAAAATAGGTGCCATTAGTATATTAATACAGATAAACCATTTATGATTAAAAGAATAACAATTCATATTTAAAACACTGTAGTGAATTAAGATAATTCAATTTCAAAGGCAAAACCACCTAGTGCTCTATAGCTGATTTATGAAGACATCGCATTAAGGATGAAGACATCAAGTAACTGTTTGAAAAATGCACACTTTACTAGAGTTTGTTCTTTTTTGGGTTCTGAATATGGAGATGGGCTTCAGCTGCTGTTTAGTGCCGAGTTGGATCTACTCTGTGCGATAGACAGCTGTTGGCCACCCCCACCCCCCAAAAAAAGCTATTTGCCTTTACACCTGAACACAGAAAGATGATGAAATTAACTCGATGATACAAACAACATATAATTGCTTTCTTCACTGACGTGAGCCTGTTTCAAAAAGTTGAAGAATATAAGTGGCCTTTTCGTCCTTCCATTTTTCTGCATGCGGCCCTCAAACGAAAAAAGTTTGGACACCCCTGGTTTAGAGCCATTGTTTAAATAGTTTTTAAATTCTCGTATTTCAGCCTCTCACCAGTAAATGTGCTGTAATCCATGATGAAAGCAGATTGGTAATCTTCTGTGTTTAATCAAAGCAAGGCTATTACAAACATCTGATTTTACAATGATCAACACATTTTGTTCCATGTTCCAGACGACATATTACAATTCAGTGAATGAATCATAGACAATTTATGGAAAAAACAAAGTCAGTTTAATCTATTACAAAAATGAAAATTATTTCCAGTCCTACCATGAATAACTTGTAAGTAGCATGAAACTTAAAGTAGCTTCACAATCGTATCTCAAACCAGTAGTTCTTCGCATTAATCCCCAAGAAGCTCTCACTTTAAAAAAGGGAGTACAACATCTCTCCCTCTTGAGTCATATTGCTAAATTGTTGCTCATTTGAATTTTATTTATTCATTAAAATTCCAAATAATCTGAGTAATTGGGGGAAAAAAATCGCAACCCATTTTAACACAAAATATTTTTTCCCCAATTATTCGATTACTGGTACTCAATAGAATACTCAATCGTTAAAATATTCCCTTAGTGGCAGCTAGGGATGGTTAATCAGCCCCATTACCAAACTGGCCTGAGATTAAATTTTAAAAACTCCACACTGGACGATTTTGTGAATGGTCTTGTAGAATTTATTCTCATTATTTCTCATTGTATTTAGGCTATATGAATGTCATTCTGCATCTTCTGATTGTCTGATTTGATTTTGTTTATAACATCATATTCATCAAAGAATCATTTAATCGGTGACAAGCCCTCTCGCCCCACTCCAGCATCGAGGGGCACAGGAAGGTCCTTCCTTGACCATATTATGATTCCTTTTTATGAAAAAAAAAAATGTCTATCGTCTGTATAACACCATAGTTTTTACGCTGTTATTTTGGTATGTGGTTTTGTTATGGCGGCATTTGCACTGTCCGAGCCCCGCCTACTTGAGCTTCAAAGCGGTGCCGCCATCGCATCACCGAACGTCAACGGCTTTGGAGGCTCAAAGGAGTGAGATTTTACCAAGTACCGTCACGCAGTTTGAGCTGGCATCCTCTACTTTGGGTATGATCTGTTGCTACCATGTAACATCAGAAGATTTCACTCTCTTGGTGTGACTAATGGATTTATACTTAATGTATCCGCTAATGTAAAAGTTTGTTTATTCTTGTTCTGAGTGATCATGTCTGGAAATCAACTACAATCCTTTTTTTGTGTTAAGAATATGTTTTGGTGTTTTTCCAAACAACAAAAGTACAGATAAGAATACCGGGATCGATAAGCAGTGTCATTCAGTGTTTATAACGACACCCATCTCGAGTGACAGCTCTAGTGTTCACTCAAACAGACAGTGTGCGGTGTCGGTGTTAAGCGCCACTTGGTAAGATTGCGATCTTTTACGAAGATCACAAATAGCGGGTGCGAAATTGCTTGCTCACTCACTGTAACAGATCGTGCTGTTGGCAACTAGTGTCTAATAGTGATGATGCCTGCTGACTGCTTTAGGTCGCGACCTTGGTTTTCACCATGGAGCATTTGGAAGCTCACCACAAGCACAAAATGAAGTTTGAAGTGATGGAATTGGAAGTGGTAGTAGAAGATCCATCCATCCGTTATCTGATCCACTTATCCTCACGTGGGTCGCGGGCATGCTAGATCCTATCCCAGCTGTTTTCGGGGCAGCAAGCGAGGTATACACTGAATTGGTTGCCAGACACTCGAGTGCAAGGCACACATAGACAAACAACCATTCATACTCACAATCATACCAAGGGACAATTTAGAGTGTTCCATTAACCTGCCATGCGTGTTTATGGAATGTGGGAAGAAATCCGGAGTACCTGGAGAAAACCCACGTAAGCACAGGGAGAACATGCAAACCCCATGTGGAGTCGAACCCCGGACCTCTGCACTGTGAGGTGTGCTAACGAGTCGACCACCGTGCCACCTTAGTAGAAGATAAACAAGCATACTGACAGGAACAGAAATTGCTCTGATTATTGAAGGGAAGGCAGCAACCAAATAAAAGTCATGCTTTCTTTCATTTAACTTGTCCTGATTGTCCATCCTGCGC